GTCAGGGATGGGGGTTCAGTTTTATTCTTACTATTGTTACCCTCTCTTCTCTCTATCCCCTCATAGTCTCAGCAGACTTAGTTTTTTTGTCTTTTTCTTTTTATACTTTTTTTCTTCCGTTTACTCTCACACACCACTGCTGACTTTCAGACCACTCCCTATAGCCAAGGGTATTTATGCCTACCCTCGACCCAGCTGGGAGAACTCCGTCATCTGCAGCATAACCAGACACTGGGGAAAGCCTACCCATCTCGACCAGGGGATAACTCACTCAACTTCTTCCCAGAGAAATTCCACCCACCAACCCTCTGCAGTGCTTAACACTTGGCTGGGGAAATCCCGCCCACCTTCTTTGGGGGAAATCTGCCTGAAGAGCTGAGGGACCTCCTCTCCATGCTCAGTGGTCCCATGTGACTGAGGGAACTTCCTCCCGCCTGCCGTAGTGCCTCACACAGCCAAAGTCAGCGCAGCCAACACGCACCAATGTTCCATGCTGCTGCGGGAACTTCTGCCCAACCTCCGCATCGATCTACCTGACCAGGGAAATTCTGCCCACCATTCGCGGTGCTCCACATGGAAACGGCAACCCACCAGCCTTCTGCAGCACTCCCGCTGCAGCAGGCATCCCCGTAAGCCCTCTGCAGCACCCCAAGTTGCGGTGGGCCACACCATTACAGCTTCTTGTGAGATCACCCATTACAGCACCATCCTTGTGGGTCCACAACCACCCAACCAGTGTCCGCTGAGAGGACCATCCAACTTGCCCTCCAAATAGCAGAATACTGGTTGACTAGAGGAAGAGTGAAGCCACAGGAGGATAAAGTGGTAGACCAATTCCATAGTGAAATTAGCTGCAGACAGTTTGAAGAAGTATTCCTATGAGTCTCCCAGAGAGAGCCAGTGCTCCTTGACTCAATGGAAAATGGCATCTGGCTTCTCTAAAACAACACATTCAAACAGCAATCAGTCTCAACAACCTCAATGAAAAAAAAACAGGAGAAACAAAAGGCAATGGCAGAAGATGTCCTGAACTTAAAAATGTACATAGAAGTAGCAGACATTGATCTGCCACAAAAAGAAATTTTCAGAATTCTGCTTGAAGTCATATAGGACATGA